GCCACCTAGGTAGGCGCCTCCTAGCCAGAGCTTGCCTCTGGCACCTCCCACTGCACTCTCTCCCCTCTGATTGGCTCCCCCACCCAAACCCCCTGTACCCCTTTTCCCCCTTCTCCAAGGTCACAACTCCCTCCCAGGCCTTGCATCTCCTCCACCCCTCCCCCAGGCCAGAAACTTCTCCCTCCTTCCCTCTCAGACCCCACGCCCTCTCCTGCACTCCAGACCTCACATCCCCTCCATAGAAGTGCACCCCTTGACCACTTGCCAAAATCTTGGAGTGGACTCCCATTAAGTTATTGCCCACCCATGTCATAACCGCTTGCAGCTGAACAGAAGCTATCTGCTTCTCTGCAATGTTTGTCTCCTCCCTTTCTCGGGCATGGAGTAAATGGGTATCATACCCATTTGGCTACGACAAATCAGGACAGAGATCTTGGAGTTATCGTGGACAGTTCTCTGAAAACTTCCACACAGTGTGCAGCGGCGGTCAAAAAGGCAAATAGGATGCTAGGAATTATTAAGAGAGGGATAGAAAATAAGACCCAGAACATCTTACTGCCCCTGTATAAAACTATGGTACGCCAACATCTTGAATACTGTGTCCAAATGTAGTTTCCTCACCTCAAAAAAGATATTTTGGTCTTGGAAAGGGTTCAGAAAAGGGCAACTAAAATGATCAGGGGTTTGGAACGGGTCCCATATGAGGAGAGGTTAAAGCGACTGGGACTTTTCAGTTTAGAAAAGAGGAGACTGAGGGGGGATATGATAGAGGTATCTAAAATCATGAGTGGTGTGGAGAGGGCCAATAAAGAAAAGTTATTTATTAGTTCCCTAAATAGAAGAACTAGAGGACACCAAATGAAATTAATGGGTAGCAGGTTTAAAACTAATAAAAGAAAGTTCTTCTTCACACAGCGTGTAGTCAACCTGTGGAACTCCTTGCCAGAGGAGGAGCGAAGGCTAGGACTTTAATAGAGTTTAAAGAGAAGCTAGATAATTTCATGGAGGTTAGGTCCATAAAAGGCTATTAGCCAGGGGATAAAATGGTGTCCCTGGCCTCTGTCGGCAGACAGGATACTGGGCTAGAAGGACCTTTGGTCTGACCCAGTACGGCCGTTCTTATGTTCTTATGCCCATTGGATGCTGTGCCAGTTAAATTTTGGCAGTCCAAGAGCACATCTCCAATTAAATTCAATGCTAACCGAGCAAGAGCAAAAAGCCAGGACAGAAGCACAAACCTGACAATATTATATAGGAAATGCCAAAAAAGTGTCCATTGTTGCTCCTACCGAAATTCAGGACAAAACTCCTATTGATGACTATGGACCATCAGAGAATTAACTGGGGACTTCAGGGTGAGGGAGGATACAGGAGAATAAGAATCTACTTACCCCAGGACAAAGAGCAAGCTAATCACACATAGTGCCTGGAAGTGGAGGTCTGGACCAGGAGACTCTGTTTCCACCATAGATAGCAGGACATTCACACATGCTGCTACTGAACCCAAGAGCTTATGGGGAACACCGTGGGTCTGGGATGAAGGATTGCTGCACAGGTCCACCAAAGCCTCCAGGTATAACTTCAAGAACACTTTGTCTCTCCGATCTTGCAGCAGCAGGGACTGTAGGTTCTCCTGGGGCATAAATGGAATGTTCCCAGAGAAATAAGGAATCTTTGTCTGCTATGACAAAGTCCTTTCCATTTGGGATTAGGAATTACATTTCTAAAGCTAAACTGAAGCCATGGAGGTGGATTAACATTTTAGCCACCTACCTCTAAAGACTTAGGTTCAAAATTCCATTAGGATGCGAGGACGAAGGCATACGGCAGGGGTCTCAAACTCATGGCCCGCAGGTCATCTACAGCCCAAGCAGTTTCAAAATCCAGGCTGAGTCTCCCTGTGGCTCGGGAGGGAGGGGCGGAGGGAAGGGAAAAGGGGGAAGTATCCACCCCCTGTATCCCTCAAGTCCCACCACTTCCTCACTCTCTCCCCCAATGGCACCCATTTCCCCCTCCCTTCTCCTGAGGGATGTGGCTTTGGGGATCAATGGAAGGGGTGGAAAGGAGCACGAGTGCGGGGCGGAAGCAAAGGTTGAGCCTCCTGCACTCAGGACAATGACCCTCCCGTGGTATGTGCAGAGGGCCTGACCCCTGCTGCCATCCTGTGGCAGGGCCCCCCCTCAGTAATCCCCAGGCAATGTCCCTTGCGGGGGAGAGGCTGATATCCAGCATCAGCACTAAGTGAATGGCCTCAGCATAGTGATTTCTAGGAACAATTAACTAGCCAGGCTCATCAGAATGAGAGCTCTTGGAAAAGCATGGTCCGTTTCACAATGAGGGGGAGTTAGGGCTGGACAGACCCTGAACATCCACACGGATTTAAAATCTCTCTGGAGCCTTGCCTTACCAGCAACGTAAGCTGGAGACTCCTCTCTAAGTCCTTGCTTCTCTCTTCCTTCCCGTCAATCACCCATGTCAGGATGGCTGTCTGTATATCAGCTTCTGCCCCTTGGAGGAGCGAGCAAACTGCACCAACACTCTCAGCCCCAGCCAGACTTGCTGCCTCATGGCAGAGGAAGTGGGCAAGAACTCGATGGAACACGGCGGATCCCACCTGCAAGAGAATCAGAACAGCTGCTTCTACACTGCTGTTGAAAGGCTCAGTGTTCCAGGCAGGGACAAGATCCCCTTGATGGGTACCAGGTTTGGATTAGTACCCTCCACGCTCCATGTCCAGTGCCAGCACGTGCAATAAAATTGAAATCGCCGGAGAACTAATTAACCTCCATTTCCCCCTTGAGCAGAGATGCTGGCCATTCTCCAGTTTTGTAAGAGCACTAGATACTTTTCCAATCAGAGAATATTCCTTCCCCTCTCCAAGGCGCTTTACCAACACCAGCTGCTTAAGTCTCAAAGGATCCCACTGAGACAGACAGGTACCAGACTCATTTTATACAGGAAAAAAGGGAAGCACAGAAAGGTTGAGTTTGAGAGTGACAAATAGGAGAGCAAGGGAGGCGCCTCCAGACTCCCAGAAAGGGCTTTGGGTAGAAGGGTGGGGCCAGGGCAGCA